TTAGCTCCGTGTGACTTCTTCCTCTTCCCAATGATGAACATTCAGCTAAAGGGAAGGAGATTTGAGACAATAGAAGAGATTTAGGCAGAATCGCAGATGGTGCTTGACAGGCTGAGAAAGAAAGATTTCCAGGGATGCTTCCAGGCTTGGCAGCGGCGCTGGGATCGTTGTGTTCACTCCCAGGGGAACTACTTCGAGGGTGATGGATGAATTTAATACCTGAGATAAGTGTACGGGTTTTTATACGCGCAGTCTTGAAACCTTTCGATCGCACCTCGTATTTGAATCATGACGTATCATCAGGTTCTTATATTGATCTATCATATTTTATTGACGTTTTTATTCGTACTGTATGTTACATTTTTTTATAATGATTCGAATTGTGGAAAACCGTCGGCCTTGCTTCGGCTCGCCGAATCTGCTCTGTTGCTATAGAAAGAGCTTCTTGTGTAATTCTGTTTTAAGTCGTGATTTTCTTCAGTCTGTCCCCGTACTTCGTGGCGTACTTGTTTTCCGGATCATATTTCTCTTGTAGCTGTTTCCATAGCTCAGTCTTTTCGTTGAACAGATGCCTAATCACTTTTTCGACCATACCTCTTTGGCTATCGCTGCATTTTCCACAGTCATTTTCCAGAGCATCTGTGATATGAGCTGGAAATTAAAATAAAACTGTGACTTATTTGCATAAAATCGAGGTAGACAAATTGGTAATTATATCAGTACACATCCAGGTTTTTAGTGTAATTCTTTTACGTAAAGACTTTTTTTTAAATTCGTGTTCCTGAAAGGAAGTGAAACCCGATAAACTTCCTGCAACAAAGAATGAAAACATGTAAAAAACAACATGTTTTGCATCAATTCGACCTTGTATAGCCCGAACCGTTGACAGCATCGTTAAATAAATACATAAATAAAAATTCTTGTAATTGCATATTATAACATAGACGGTTTTCTCGTTGGAAACAAAGTTTAAAATGAAAATTTTAAACTGCAAAAGAAAAAGTCCCTATTGATTTGCGTTTGACGATATGTGGAATGTGCATTGCCAACCGTTTCCGTAAATTATGGATTTCAATAAGATGGAAATATTTTTCGAATTGGCGAATATTTAAGAAAACGTAAAATATATCGGACTGTTCCGCGTGTCTTTGTAGTGTGAGTAACTTTATAACAATAATCTGTTACCAGATATGCAAGAGTTCACTGAATAATATCTTCTTAGCTACTCTGTATATTTTCGGGTGTTTTAAGTGTTTATAGTTACAGTGGGACCCAAAATATTTCACAAAAATGTGAACGTTTTTGGACACAGATTAATAGCATTTTGTGAAGTATATTTTTTGTCTGAAAATGAGTGCCTTCTAGGTTGTCGTGTTATCATGATGGAGGCAGCAGGTACCTCTGAAACGTCGGTAAACTTCTACCAGACTTGAATTGAATTGAAATTATACCAATTCCGTCTCTTATTCGCAGAGATTATCAGCAAATTTACAAGCGTTTAAACAGAAGTCTTGTAATTAAATACGTACAAGTTTGTGCGACGATGCAATATTTAAACATTTCCATGCTGTTGTTTCATTCTAAAAGCCGTAGTCATAGCATATTTCAACGGTAACATAATTTATGCTAAAAGAAACTTACCTTTAACCTTGCAAAGATGGCGGAAGAGATTTCTTCACTGATCTTTCGAGAAATCAAAAAGTGATAGTGGAACCATGGTTCCGGAGAATTAGATTTAAATACGTCTATACGGAAAGGAAGTTTATATATTGGCTTCATTCTAAATATTTCCTTTATATCCGCTTTACAATTGAGTAAAGTTTGATTAAGACATTGCTTATTTAACTTGAATTAGTTACGCTTAAGATGGGTCTGTGGTAGATGAATGTAAAGTAATGTAATGAAATGTAATGTAATGTAAGGTAATGTAAGGTAAGGTAATGAAATGTTTTATAGGTAACAACAATGCCGAGTAAACAGATGACGTTTCCTAGGTAACATAACAATGAAGTTACACTTTTTCGTTTCCCTTTTTTGTTACACATTTTCGTAACACATTTTTGCCGAATGACACTGACCCTAAAATATAGACGTATTTAAGTCAAAAAAATCAGGGGAGAAGGGATGTTGTAAGCGAGCTATCGAAACTGACTAGCTAGCAGAGAGTTTCAGACCCCGGGAAGTCGAATACTTACATTTTAGCTCAGCGCCTTCAGGAGAGCATTTCCCATTTCCCATAAGGCATTTGAAGTAGTTGATCACAAGTCTGTCACTTGCGAGAATCTCGTCAACGTCTACGTTGTCGTATGCCGTAGTGTACTTCTCATCCCTGCGGAGCCTAGCAGCTTCAGCCAGGGCCAAGGCTGATACTAGCACGAAGAGAATAGTCACGAACTGCTTCATGGTGATTTGAACGCACCAAATTCAATGTTATTTCCAGCTGAGAACCTCATATTTATACTAAGGAAAGATATGTTTAAGTGACGTCACAGTCAGACAGGATTCGCGGAAGGAGAGGCACATATGAAGCACCCTATATCCTCCCCCCCCACCGCAAAACGACCCTGAGTATCCAGTTTTTCTTGACATGTGGTTGGATATTTTAATAGAATAATGCAGTAGTTAGATCGTCATCTCAGATAGATCAGACGAATGCAAATTGTTATAACTTACTTATACAGTATCGACGTAATTACGTATATTTTTTATTATGTATGAAGAAGTTCTCGTAGTGTCGCAATGCAAAGAAAGAAATATCAAAATGGACCTAGTGCTGAACGGAGGGGCATGTGACTGTCTGCATGGATCAGAAGTATGTATGTACTCAAAAAAAATGCTAGTTATTCAGATGAAAACTTTAATAAATATGTATACTTTCGCATGTCTGTGAAACCTCTGTTTCGTATAGTTGTGAAACGTAGTGTCTTACTTTAAAGAGACGGCACAAATTAATGTAAAACCGTGCTGACAAAATTATTTGAACCTAAGAAAAAATGAAGTAATTTGTATATAACATACCGAGGATACTAGTGATTAATAGAGAACACGTGGTATTGTCGGGACAGTTAATGCAGACGGACATGGAGGTGGGATGCAGAGGAAAATGGGGCATTGGAGGATGGCATTAAGTAAGATCTTTGGCAGGGGAGGATCGTTGCTAGCCAGCTAGTTGAGGCGAACGCTCGCGGTGATCGCCTCGTTGGATTAAGCTGGCTAACGATGTGTTTTATCTGAGCAGTTTTACTGTGTTGCGGTGGATGGAGTACCACTGAACCACGATCGTTGAGAGAGAATTTTCATTTTTCAGAGTCTTAGCTAGGATTTGATAATGCCTATATTGAAACTTCGAGTGCCATATAATAAATAAATAAATAAATTAGCTTGTTGTCTGTACGCTTTACTTAATGGGATATCTGATGTATTATTTAGAGTTCGTGAACAAACCAACAAATTATTGCTCTTAAATGGATGACAATTTTAGGAACAATTTTATTTATATTAGATATTACAGATTTTTATAAATCGAATTATCGAACATTGCCATCAAAGGATTATGTATTCCAGTCAATCTGCAGTCTGTTGGTTGCTATAGGAACAAGTTACTTTGTGATTCGAATGCCACATTAATTAATTGCTTTATTTTCTTCAGGCCTTAAGTTTACTCTCATACTTCTGTACGTATTTGTTATTCGGATCATATTTCTGTTGCAACAGCTTCCACTGATCAGGCTTTTTATTGTATAAGAACTTGATCACTTTATCTGATCCTTCTTTCTGCCTCTCGTTGCATTTTGAACAGTCCGTTTCCAGAGCATCTGTGATGTGAGCTGCAAAAGAAACGAAGTACATTTACAGGTCTTGTCCTTGTACAGAGCATAATGGTTAAAAGATGGATGTCTTTTGGGTTGTTGCACTGTGTAGTCTGGTAGAACTTTACCGACGTTTCTTAGGTCCTGCTGCCTCCATCATCAGGGCAATGACTCTTCGTAACCCAGAAGACAGCCATCTTTGGACTCACCGCCGTGAAAACTTCAAATCTTACGTAATGGTTAAGAATTCGCCAACAGTATTCGATATCGCGTTATAATTTTCCAAAACAAGAAATCACTTAAAGGATTCACACAGTTTGTATTATTTTATCATCATTAACATGTTTTCATAATCAGAGATATTTAGTCTAACAACATTGAATAGTGGGATGTATGTTATGCCAGGAGGGCGTAATGCTAACGCTGCTCTACACAGAGATGCAGATCACTGATAATGCACATTTTTCTTCTGTAAATCAGCCATTTTGTTGTTCTGGAAAGATGCCCTAAATGTGGTCTATTAGTGTTCATAGGAAGAAAACGGATTTCGTATTTGATATTACAGCCGGTGTGAAAGACAACTTGGACACTATTTTCACAGCTTAAGTCATGGCCGAGCGTAAAAACTTTGTACTTCAGAGAAAACTTGGTGTTGGACCAATTTTGTACTATTTATTTAATAATATTTTATAATATATTTTTTTTTAATTTTGAGAAACAATTGTGGCGACGTTGTAAGAACGGGGCAGGCACGACTGAAGAAAACAGGGAAGAAATTGATTTCATGTTATTTAAATAGAATACCAGTAGTATGTAGAACTGTTTTAAAAATCCAGGTACAATATTTTGCGGGTGTCACTCACAACAAAATCGTGTACTCCAGTTTTCAGACCTTGGAAGGCTCAGTACTCACATTTTAGTTCAATGCCTTCAGCAGTGCATCTTCCGGTGTCCAGAAGACATTTGATGTAGCTGTTGAGTAGTCTGTCGGTTGCAAGAATCTCATCCAGGTCTACGTTGTCATATTTCGTGGTGTACTTCTCATCCCTACGGGACCTAGCAGCATCAGACAGGGACACGGCTGCCACTAGTACTGAAACGAGCACTACGAACTGTTTCATGATGTTGGTGCACAAAATGTAGTGGTTCTTCCAGTCGATAAGCTAGTATTTATACTAAGCAAAGGTAAACTTGAGTGTCCGTTAAGGTGTGAATACCTAAATTGACAAGGTACACAATGGATGCGCTAAACGTTCCCCACCATTGGACGTTCTTGTGTGTCTAATTCGTCACTGGGATTTTATTTACAGTGGAACATCGCGGTCCATTGGTTAGTTATTTTGCTTTGTATTCATGAAGTGCAGGGTTTGGTTTTCAACTCAGGGTCCTGTTGTCCTGATCGACGATTTTCGTGACTTAACTTTAGGAAAATATGATAAGACAATAGGACAGGTTTGTTTTAAATTTGGTATGGAAGATACACCATTAGGGACTAGTCTTAACTCATATACTTATTAATTTCCTACAGTTGGTAATACCAACGTGAGAATGCTTAAATTCAAATTGTGAAATAATAATCTTTCGCAGTAACGCTATTATCCTTGATACTCTGCGATAATTAACATTAACACTCATGATGGCGTCATCGCTGGTTAAGCATATAATAACTCGATAATGCCTAAATGGATTTTCATAAAAAAATTTACGGACGTTATGCCATTGAATGTCATTCAAAACTCGAAATGTATTATTTTATAGAGTTAGAAATACGAAAGCGATGAATGCTCAAACTTGTGAGGTGGAAGGAATGATCCTTCGAAATGATATCATTATCAGTTACATTCCGATATGACGTTATGAAACGATTACCATAGCCTGTTACGGTCGGTAATACTGTTTGCATTTATACGTTGGTTGCCTCACTTACCATGTTTAGAAACGTTACCAGATGACAAAACAAATAAGAAATTGAAATTAATAAGGAATTCGTGATGCTATTATACCCTTTTTCCATGGATACCAGGCAATTAGCATCCAAAAGTCAAATCATTTGGAACCCGCTACAGGTGTCACGCTGTGCATACATTTGTTAACATTTTACATTTACCTTGAGTATTTATTGTTCAAATTAATACGCTGATAAAAATAGTGTTTGCTTTACTCTACACTGCACGCTCTAATCAAACTCACATGATAGGCCATAAACCTGTTCTAGGATGTGAATCAACACTGAAATTATTTTTTGAAACTAATGGAGAAATTAATTGGTAAAAATCGCTATAACTAGGACATCTCAAGGACGACGTCCTATTTACATGCACTAAGAATGTTAAAACAGCAGCCAAATAGAACAGTTTGCAAAAACAAACATGAAACGTTCTTATATGTTTATGACAAGTCGTTTCCTTAATTGCTACTAAAGTTTGATCCCATGTGTGATGGAATGATATACTCTTAAAAAATAGAGGCCTTTTTTTTCAGTTTTAGCCAAGCTAACATGGTTAGTCCCACGTGTGTTCACTTTAACAGTCCAAACGTTTTCCTACGTCCAGTAGTTAATATTTTAAGTGCCGTAAAAAAGAACATAGGAAATAGTTGTCAAAGAAGGATAAGGTGGGAATTTATAAAATCTCGCAACGAAAAACTCAATAATTTATACCGGACGTTTATTACCATTTTTTTGGCTTATGGTAACGAAGTATAGGAGGTTATGATATGCTGTTAATTTGGGTGAAACAAATGCTCTTGCTGAATTTTGGTGGGGAAACCTGTTGGTATGTCGAGAGAAATATGTGAGGATTATATAAGAGCAGAAGTCAAATAAGAAATGTTGTCGTTGGGTGGTAGATGAAACTGGCTGAATGTCGTCTGTCTTTGAGTTATGTCACAAGAGACTTTGGTTAAAAGTCTTGGTTGGCGGAACAATTCGGTCTTTGAAGATTGTCTTCAAATAGAGCTGTTGCTGCTTTGAATTTCCTGTTCTCTACTTCTTGGTATTCGATTCAGCGGTTTACCTGACGTCCTTTTGATCGTGACATGAAGTAATTAACAGATTTTAATGATGGTAACTGAGTTGAAATACATGATCATATCGCTCACACCCGACAAATGTATCCTTACATTTGTTTCCTGCACTATAGTTAATTACTTTCGAAATTGTTTATAAACGCTGACCTTGTGTTTTGCCTCGTATTATTACGTATGTTAAAGTAATAAGCAGTTTTCCAAAACGAACAACGGATAATTGGTATTTTAACATGTGTGAGTATTAATTCGTTTGATGTCCAATTAACGAAGAATAAGTACACTTAAAGAAGCTATGATTTATAATTAAATACAATTACTGCAATGAAGAAAAGATTGACTATTCTTTGCCCCTCGCTTTTATTTTCTCTCTCTTATATTCGTCTGTTATTTCTAATTGAATGAACAATTTATGGATTTCATAACATAATCTTATACGTCCTGCTTGTGTCAAATCGAACCCTTTGCCGGGTTTAAAATAACTCCTCTCTCTGCATCTGAACTTGAATCTCGTAAAAGCTTTCTTATATATTACTGAGAGAACAGATCAAATGCATACTCTAGTTCTTCAGAACTCTCTGGGGCTACCATCTAGCAATTAAACATCCATATAGACCTAAGAAAGGATGTGTATAGAAATGGATATGTCAGACACATGAAATGAATACAATCAGACGAATTTACAAGCTTGAAGTTACAAAAAGAAAGGAACAAATAAACCAAGGTAGTTCCTCACACGACAACGACTATTGCTCACCTGATGTTCTTCACGGTTACCAATAATCAGTGATGAAATGAGTTGTATATTCAAAAGTGTTACCGCATTGAACAGGTTTGTGTGTACTGCAGTCTTAACACCAGTAACTTGAACGTGACTGAAAACCTTACTTTAACAGCCTAAAAAGTAACTGCACGTTTTAAATTAATATTTGGCGAATAAAACTACGAGGTTTCACTTCGAAAACTCGACGACTACTGAGAAAATGAGATTACTCTTTTCGTAACAAGAGGTAATATTGTCACGAGGTACTCCTTGCATGACTTTGGTATAGGGAATTTCAATCAGTGTATTTAATAGCCGGATCTGTCCAATATGCAGGATTTATGTTTCAGTTCCTTTCATCATGTTATGCTTTAGTGCTTTACATAACTCGATCATGCTATGCAGTAAGTTGTGTTCGTCTTACGTAATGACCTGCTGAAGACGAACTCCATGGAACGAGATTTTGTTTCGTGCCACTTGTCAGATTATTCTGGGATGTTGAGTCGTGCTGTCTGATAGACGTCTACCAGGGTTTCCGTCATTAAATCATCAAGAACGTCAGTAAACGTCTACCATACTACACGGCGCAACATTCCAGAATACAGCCATCTTCATAATCGCCGCAGTGGGACCCGAAATATCACCAAGTAATTCCTTCTGTTATGGAATCCAGTCGATCGTGACCATGTTCCAATGGGACCGCTACTAGATTCTCTGAGAGAGTTAAATTCAGTCCACATCTTCACACCAAACTTCCTCTTAAAATAACAGAAAGGAAAAATGTCAGTAATTAAAGAAATGATCGATAAAATTAACGAACTGTGAAAATTCGTCTCTGTTCTAACACAAACTCTCCGTGTCCTAATCTACTTCAATCTTTAGTAACATCTTCAAACGTTATTTTATAATACCTAGTCTGTTGTTTTCCTCCTGTCTTCGACGTGGTCTGTCAAATAGTGAAATTGGGTTCTTTTGAAAACAAAATAAATTTGATTTCCGACCCTTAATTGCCAGCATTTTAATCACATCTCGCAATTCTTAATTAACCGCCCCAAAAATATTATGTGAATGCTTATGGATTTTAACATTATCGTTCAATTTACACTTCGATAACCTAGATGTCTCCTTCTTCGACCTCTGATGAAATTTGTTTATGCATTTCTCATTTTCCCCACGAGGTCTCAAATTCGACCTGGCGAGGTGTCAACAGGGTTCGCTTATGTAACTCCAAAAGAATATTCAAGGTTATAAAACTTCCATAGCCTGTTCTGCTGCGTGCGATGATGCAAGAAACCGATTAAACAAGTTTTAATAATGAATGGTCACAGAGTTCAATGTATTTGATTTCCAGGAACAGCCACAAGAGTATTTAAGATGCAGGGCTACACATTGTGCAGAATAAAAACTTGTCCACATCGGCAGGTGAAGATCAGGTACGATGGAATGATCTACCATCGCTGATCACAATCCTTTTCTGTAAACTGTCCACACACTTTCACAATCTGTAGTCTCGTTAAAGATCTGAGTAATGTTTATTTTGCATCACATTTTGTTAACCACGAAATCAAGTCTCCTAAAAAGTATCCACTAACAAACGAATTAATACCTTACCATTGGAATCCGGGGATGGCATACGATGGCCATTTCAGTGTTTAGTGGAAATGATTTCTTTTGACGAAGCCTGTCATTAAACTGACGCATATTATTGAATATTTCCCTTAGTCTATAACTCTAAAAATTATCGTAACACTTCGGAATTTGGCGGAGCCGGTTTCCGAAACGTCTCGACTTTTTAAATTTATAGACGAAGGAGAATATCCAATAATATGCGTCAGTTTAATTACAGATTTATTCTCTGTGTATACGTGTTTGTATTTGGATGTTCCACGACTCTTAATGTGAGAGTGAAAGATGACCACAACACTACTTAACGAATAACAATTTTAGAATTATCCTGATTTTATTTCGACGTTTCCTGAGAATCGGAGTTTACTATTGTCTCTGATTATTTTAAGACTCTTGACAGAGGCAGCATTACAGTATTTGTTGTGCTCAATTTATGGGCATTATGGACAGGAAAATCTTACTGGACACCAATCTGCGAGTATAACGTAAAATGTAAGGAAGAAATAACACAATGTGAACACATTTTGCAAGTGTTTCGTGCAGAAAATATACTTAAATTTAATACGAAATTGCAGTGTGTCTAATTTTGCGTGTCTGATTTCGTAAGGCTGTGTTTGTATAGCTTGTTAGTATTGCTTACAAGGCCGTTAAGGGGGTCGTTTGGTATATGCTGCTATAAAATTAGGCTACAAAGTGAGTGAGGCAGTGAAACGATGGCGGACAACGTCTTGGCCATGTGTTTGCTGCTTTTGGTAGCATCTGAGTGCCGAGGCGGACTTCCTGAGGACGAGAAGTACACGACCAGGTCAGACCTTCAGACGTACACAAAAATGTGACGTGGCATTTGTGCAGAAAATGTCGTAAGGTTTATACTTTCGCAGGCATCACGGACATGTTTGGACGTTTCGTGCGTGGAACATGCACTTAAGTCTCAACGTAAAAAAGAAACAGACCAACCTTGAAAATAATAAATGCCATAAAACAGAATATACGTATTTATTTTCGTTCTTGCACAAACTGGATATTCACAATCTGTACTTTCCACCAGGTAGTACCAGCGTGTTTGTCACGGACGGTGAGGAGTGAGGGATGTGAGTGTAGGCGTTTGCCTTTTACCGCTTTGTTTGGAGGTTTGCGTGATCTAGACCAGTGGTCTTCAACCGGTGGTCCGCGGACCGGCGCCGGTCCGCGAAAGCTTTCACCATGCTTTCACCCGACTATACTGCTACACGATTCGGGGAATTCCCAATGTTGCGGGGCGCTGCACGCGATGAGTATAGACGAAGTGCGCGGCCGCCGAATGAGAGTATTGCGTCAGCTCGCCTGGGGAGCAACGCTGCAAGGGCGAGCTGGCCGAAATTCTTTAAAAACAAAGGATCGGCTGTGTTAAGTGAGAAAGTAGGGGGAGGACTCACATGTGGTCTTTTTGGGGGAGTGAGCTAGCAGTGGTAGTCGTAAAGGGTGTCGTGGACAGTCGTGGAAAGTTTCTTGACTGTATAAGGTTAAGACGTTTATAAGCTAGTGTTTTGAAATAAATACATAATAAAGGTATAATTAGATTAACAGTAAATCATTATCTCTCCGTTACACATCCGATCCCCGTGAACCAGTGGTCTTCAACCTTTTAACACCCGCGACTCGGCGAAAATAGGAGAAATATTTCGCGGACCGGCGTCAGCCAGAAACAACAACCAATGTAGATAGAATTTTATTTATTAAATCTAATGTTATAAAATTACAATTGTTGGTTAGTGCGACATCTGCTGCTGCTTCTTTGTAAGCAAATTTGATATACGTGGTTGCAGCGTTGTTTCTGAGAGACGAAACGCTGCATTAACATCAATTCGATTTCTCTGTTTGGTTTTTATTACTGACATAGCTGGAAACGTCTTTTCACACAAATAGGAAGTCGAAAAATCGACCAACAATTTGATAGCTTTATAACTCAGAGATGGATATTCCTTATCGAGGGATATCCAAAATTGAGGCAATGATTGCATTTTATGTCTGGACACCAGAGTGACATCAGAGGACAACTCGATAAGTTTTTCTTTCTCACGAAGATCAAGTGCGCATGATTTTATATCTTCCGAAAAGGGATTATTAATCCAGAGGTTACCTTTACGCGGATCTTCATTTTCAGGGAAATAATTATTAAAGTTTTCAGCTAACGCTCTTAAATGTTGGCTTATTACGTTGAATATGACTTTCTGGTTGATATCAGCAGCATTCAAAAATTCTCCCAAAAGTGGAAACATTTCTATATCTTCCTCTTGTACGCGACTATCCCAAAGAGCCAGCTTCTTTTTGAACGCATCCATTTTATTTCTTAGTGTAAAAATATTCATACAAGACCCCTGAAGAGAAATATTAAGTTGTAAATATGAGCACCGCCGGGAATCGAGACCGGGACCCCAGTATTACAAGCCCAGCGTTCTAACCGCTAGACCACCGTGGCAGTGAGTATTTTCAAGCACAGGGCTTAGACTGGAGCAAATGTGTTGGTGTGCGTAAGGACGGTGCTGCGAGCATGACTGGTCGTCGCTCAGGAGTAGTTGCGAAAATAAAGGAAGTCGCGCACCCAGAAGTTTTGTTCACTCACTCTGTGATCCACCGGCAGCATCTAGCTGCAAAGAAGCTTTCTACTGAACTAAACACTGTGATGAATGACGCTGTGAAGATCATTAACGAAATTCGTAGTCGAGCTACGAACTCCAGGCTGTTCACGACATTGTGTGAGAGTATGGACTCACATCACCAACATCTCCTTCTCCATGCAGAAGTGAGAGTTCTTGCACGCCCGTTCGAACTTAGAGGAAAAAGTAAAGCAGTTTCTGCGAGAGCGAAAATCTGACCTAGTAGAGCCTTTATTTAATGAGGAATGGATGACTAAGCTTGCGTATATGCCGGACATATTTAACCTTATGAACGAACTTAATATTTC